TTTTTAAAATAATTTTATTGTAAAATTACAGTAGAAGACTTATTTGTTTAAACTTTAAATGATATTATTTAAATCTCGAACTTTGACGATTGCGAATGAATAGAATGATAAAGGACTCGAGGAGAGAACGGTCAGTTAATTATTGAACATCAAACATATCACATATAAAAAAAAGAAAATTATTAGTTATAATAAAAAAGAATTTTAGCCTACAATTAAATTGAGGAGCTTCAATTAAAATAGAAATATTATTGGTATATTTAAAAGTATTATTACGAAATAAATCAAATTATTGTTTCACAGTTACCACCTAATATTCAAGTTGCATTGGCTGGATCTGATTTGTCGAACGTTAAACAAGTTGTTCATTCTCTAACGCGGATTCACGATGCCAACGCGAGCACAAGAAAAAGAAATTTTGATCAATTATCAAATCGAGATGACAGAAGTGGGCGTGGAAGTTCGCTGTATAGTAATGCTACATCGAATTCATAACGCGCCTCATCAGAACCGCGAAAGGAAAATTAAAGTCAGAACGAATTGACAGCGACATGGGACGATAAATACTACAATCAGAATAGGGGAACAGCATGGAGAAACAACTCCCAAAATTCGAATTAACGTGGTGGAAATATGCCACCTAGAAATCAAACAAATAGCAATAGTTCTCGGAATTTTTGGGTATTATCGGTGATTTGTCGTAGCATATTCGACGTATTTAAATTCGTTTCGCGATCTATTGAATACGAAGAATCGGTTTAAATGGACGGAATATCATAGCCGTGAATTTAGAAGATTAAAAGAAGGGTTTATTAAGGTCGTAACGTTGGATAATTATTTGTCGGGCAAAGCATTTCGAATGTAAACGGATGCGTCGAAGAAAGGAATCAGTGCGATTTTTTATTAAATAGATGAGCAAGGGGATGAAATAATTATTTCGGTAATTAGTCGATGTTTGACAGCGTTCGAGATTAATTACACAGCAACAGAAATCAAATTGCTTGTTATTATTGTAGTGTTGATTAAATTTCGGATGCATTTGTTGGGTAGTTTTTTTCATATTATCGCAGATCATGCCGCACTGACATTTCTTATCAAGACTTCGTATCACAATTCGCGTTTGATCAGATGGTCTTTGTTTCTGCAGAAATATTCATTTAAAATTCGGCATTGTTCAGGACGAGACAATATTGTTGCCGATTATTTTAGCAGGATAATGCCGAATATTTATTTGAATGAGCATGTAATTGATGTAATTGCGTCGGTCTTAGCGAAATATCAGAATGAGGTGATAAAAAATGAAGATAGACTGGAGTTAATAATAAGATCGCTGAGCAAAATTGATATTCCTGAATTGAAGCATATAAATTGGTGGCAACGCCAGGATCCACAAATTCATGATATAATCGAGGAAGTTGATCGAGAGAAATTGACGGAACCGTATTGTGTACGAAACAACGTATTATATTATAAGAAACGAAAAGATAAAGCGTGGAAACTCGTTGTCCCGCAAGAATTACGGAAAAATCTAATTGATGAAGTTCACGAAAGAATGGGTCATCTTGGGACATATAAAACCTATGCGGAATTGAGCTGAACTTACTATTGGCGAGGGATTCAGATGGACGTAAAGAAGCGTGTGGTGGCGTGTGACATGTGCCAGCGGGTCAAACATCCGAATTATACCATGGAAGGATCATATATGCATGTAAAGTCAGAAAAACCAAACGAACTTCTGTGTATAGATTTTTACGGACTAACTGCAGGGGTACAATACATCCTCGTAGTTTTGGATGCATTTTCTCAATTAGTCACTTTATATCCAATGGTTAAAGCCACGACTCGGGTGACGATCATAAAATTGGAAAAATATTTTGAATCGTGTGGTATTCCGCGACGTATACTATCGGACCACGGTACACAGTTTACCTCCCACAAATATAAAGCGTTTTCACAGGCGAACGGAATCAAAAGGGTTTTGTGCTCGATTAGGCATCCTCATTCAAATCCTTCCAAGAGAGCTATGCGCGAATTAGGGAGATTTTTCCGCACATATTGTAGCGAACAACATACAAGATGGGAAAATACATCAATAAGATCATGGAGTGGGTAAAATATGTAAATTGTACCACGGGATATACTCCATTCGAATTACAATATGGATTGTCACAAAAAGATAAAATCCGAGAAGTTTTGAATTTTCCCCCGGACATCGCGGAAACTCAAGAAATTAAAATTGAAATAGCACGCGAGAAAATTGAAAAGCTCTGTAAAATGAATGAAGGCGATCTTGTATTATTGAAAACTCCTCTCAGATCGGATAAAGAATATCGAAATATATAATATATATCGATAATAATATATAATATCGAAATTTTTTCATATTATTTATCGCGGACCTTTTAAGGTAAATAGAAAGATCAACCAAAATGCGTATGAATTCGCCGAAAGGGACGATCATTTGAAGATAAAAGGTTGTATATAATCGGATTGATTTTAAAATGTATAAGACGCAAAATGATTAAATTAATGTTGTAAAAGAAAAAAATTATGAATTGTATATAGAAATAATAAAATACTAAAATAGATGAAAAGAGAAAAAGTGTGATAATATGGATGATTGTAATAAGAAACGGAGCATAATTGATGAGTAATTATTGCATAATGGAATAAATATGTGTAAAATAAATTATATTTGATGTTTGAAGCGACGAATTTGTAAACTATATTATAAATGATATGTTTAACGACTCAAAATGATATTACTCATTGTATCGCCGTTAAAGGGGGGATGATGAAGTGGTTTGAATGACGATCTACAAGAGTCGATCGAGAATGGGCGTATCTATCATTAACGTAAATTCGACTTTTTGAAGCTGAAATTATAAAGTTAAAAATTATGGATTTAGGTTACATTTATTGGAATAATCAAAATGTTTAATCCAATAATTTTTTGTAAATTATTTTATTGCAAAGTAACAGTTGGCAAACATAAAGTTAGAGAATTGTTTCTAACTTTGTGTCGTATTAGTTTCCTACGTAGATAAAATCTTTTAGGAAATTGTCATGAATTCGATGACAAAGGTCTTATCTAGTGGGGTTATGTTTATATTCTCTTTGGAATTACGATCTTGAGTGACGATTAGTATGCATAAAATTGACGTGAATTGTGTGTATGAATTCAATAACATTTGTCTATAATTTATTATAGTAAACATTGCAAGTTAAACCTAAATTATTATATTAAACTAGATAAAGTTTTATTCAAATATATTTTTCAAGCTTTTACCCTAATGACGCATTACTTTATTAGAAATATCGCAATATAATTGATATTAATATTATTACAGTGAGAGGAAAATAAATTGTAACCTTATAAATTATTATAATTCATTGTAAATTAATTTATATCTTTTAAAATATTATTATAATCAAAATTGAATTTTATTTATTTTAAATTTCATTTAAATGAAATAATCTCTAGAAAAGTGGAATGTTTACAAAGGAATCTATCAAACAGATTAGTTCAAGTCTCGTTGAAAATTCTTCCTTGAACATTAAAGAATGAAAAAATAAGGTCCATGGCATGAAAAAAATTTTTTGATCAATTTAAACTAGGTTTTTCAAAAAAATGCAAAATACCCGGTTTTGCCCCGATGGTGAGTCAAAACCGGGTACTGTCAAGAAAATCTATAAATCATAAAATTAATATTATTAAATTTAAATAAAAATTTTAAAAAAATTTTAAAGTCACATAAAATATAATAAATAAATTTTTATATAGTGGTTATATAATTAAAATGATGTTGGTTGTAATATAAAAGATATATGTAATGGGTGACACAAATGGAATACCTGTCATTGAAAACTGGAGGTACCCTGTTTGACCCGCCTACGCGGTTTTGCCCCACTTTCCCCTAAGTCTTATTTTCATATATTTTAAAAATATTTGATGAAATGTATTTTGAGATATAAAAGTTTATAATTTTCAAATAAAAAAATAGTAAAATTAAAATTTTTTAATAAGACGCGTCGTTTGATAAATTACAAAATTTTTTGAATCAAAATCGTTAATTTTATTTCCTCTTGTATATGGGTATATCTTTTTACATTGTTTACCTTAAAAATATTCTCCACTCGATAGACCTTTACGGTCAAACAATTTGAAATAAGAATTTTTTTTATTTTTTAGTACTCTATGTAAGAAAGAATATTATTTTACAATAATTTTGTCTTATTAATAAAAGTCTTTTGTCTCATTTATTTTAAATAAAATGTATATTAATAAACAATCTTTAGAGTTGATAGGGACAAAATAAATTTTAACCTTTAGAAATATCTTCACTTTCCCACGATTTAACGTAATTTGGCTATTATTTTTAGTTTTCACAGATAGCATTTTTATTTTGTATTTATTAAAAATTCTTAAGTTACTTTTTTTGCATTTTAAATTGGCATATCACATTCCGGAAAAAAACTTTAAACATAACCATTCCGACTTATTTTTACCAATCACTACAGCTTTTACCACGAAGTAATAATAAGGAGACTCAACTCTGTATTTGCTATCTGTCAAGGTCACTGGACCATAAGTGACATGTTCGCTAAAAGGAATTAACTTTCGAATGAGAGCGCATGTGCAGTGTAATATACGTGTCTCTCTTTAACTAATAGGGATGTGCGACGAAGAAAGTTGCCGATATTAGACTGATGATGGCAACTTTCTCACTCGCACTTTTTTCATTAGTTGGAGAGAGACACATATATGACACTGCACATGCGCTCTTGTTCAAGTGTCAATTACATTTAGCGAACAGCTCACTTATAGTCCGGTCACCCTAGCCGGATTCCGATAATATATACCATTACCGAAGATAATGCGTCAAAAAAATGGAAAATAATTAACTCTCAGCGTAAAATAGATAAGATTTTGGTGCATTAGTATGGTAAATGTTATAGAGTAGATGAGAGGTATTGGTTATTATTATTTTTAAACTTACTCCAAGACGTAGCAGTAACTTCTTCAGGCTGTAAACTTTTTAATCGAGGGACGTTCAATTTTGACGTTAATGGTAAAAATTGTTTGTGTTCTTCTGCCGAAAGGGGAGATGAGGAACTTGGAGCATTGTCATCGCCTTGAAACCGAACTCTGCGTGATGTTGGTGTTGATACATCTGGATTAAGTTTATTATTTGTTGTAGTGTTCATGTTTTGTGTAGTTGGTGACACAGAAGCTGTTGACAGATCACCAGGGGATTTTGCTGCTGCTAAAGAGGTTAAAGACACTGGTTGTGGAGGAAGTTTCGACATACTTGAGGCATGAGAAGGAGAACAACTTTGAGCACATCGAAGAGGTTCTCTATCTGCCGCTTGCATCAATCTAAAACCCATTTCATTTTAAAAACATATAATAAACCAGAAGAAAAACTTTAACAATAAGTAAAGCAAAAAGTAAAGGTCAACAACCTTCCCTTGTCACTGGACATTTCTTGAGAATGAGACCCTCGTTCTTGAAGAATCTTTTCAAGATTTCTCTCGAGAAGAACTCTATCAAGTCCCTCGGACCTAGATCCCACACCGGAAAGCTCTCCACTCGAAAAATCAACAGAAGTTGTTCCATGAGTTGGAGTAGTAGCTAAAGAAACAGAAACGCGTTGACGAGGTTGCTTTCGTATGAATCGAGGCGAATTCCTCGGTGAACCAAGGGTATGCCTTGAGATTGAAGGTGGTGGTGGTGGACTTAAAGATCCTTCACTAGGGGGCGTAGGTTTCCTCCTTGGAATCCTAAAAAGTTAAATATTTATAGAAAGTATTAAGTTTAATTATTGTAAATTTAAAAAATATGTACAAGTAAAAATTTGATTTAAGGATGAAAATCAACATCAAATTTGATTTGATTACGTTATTGCGTTCTGGTAAGTTTAGATTTAAAGGTGCACTCGCAGATGTAACTTTCAAAAAATCGATTTTTTTGCATTTTCTTAGAGTATATGTTGTCAGAAATGTGTCTACAAAATTTTAAAATGATCCGGAGAAAATTGAATGAGATATACTGGCTGAAAGGGAGGCGCGGTAGGTCAGTCCAGAACAGGCTAACGGACGTGTGGGTCTTTATACCTTTATATTTTAATTGGGATTTTGGAAGCAGCTTCATCTGCTGAAGAACTTTTATATGGCCCCGAAATTGATGATTCTATCTGATTTCCAAAAAAAAATTTCATCTTCACGTAAATGTAAGTTAAAACTTTAAACACGATTTTCTCAAAACTACATTTTCGAAGTCGGTGACTATTTTTACTTTAAAACTACTAAACCGATTGTCCTGCAATTTAACATACTTTTTCAATATATAATAATCTAGTCTTTAATAGAAGGATTGATTTTTTTATGCAAAACTTTTCTTTTTACAGTTGAAAAACGACCGTTTTTTTAAAGAAAATCGAACGTTCAACTTTGATAGGTCGCCATTTTATAAAATATTTTTTTTAAATCCTTCGATTAAAGACTAGATAATCTTTCAATAAATGTAAAACCGTTTCAATTTTTGATTTCAGACGAACCAGATTTCCATAATGTTGGTCACCGCAAACCATGTTTTTCAGAAGGACGTCACTTTGACGAGACAAAACTTTGGAACTATTCAATATTTTTAACTTTTTTTTAAATTCAAGTTTAAATTATGTACTTTTAGTTAATAAATCGATATTTTAAAAACACTTAATGGTTTACAAAAAGAAATTCATTAAAAATGTCTAGTTTTGGGCGCTACAACTGCGAGTGCCCCAACAAATTCATTTTGTAATTTGTATTTCGACTCGCATTAAAATTAAATGCTAACCCACAAGTTAGAGGATTATTAATGGGGTAGATGAGATAAAAAAAGACTAGGTTCGAGAATAAATTTCAAGTAACTGACCTCAGGTAAGTTGGTGGTGGTGGTGGACCAGCAGATGAATCGCTCGGTGTTGTTGGTGGTTCTCCTTTGCTGCAAGCAATACTACAGTAAATTGCTCCACGTCGAGGTAAAAATGGTCTTCCTAAAAGTGACGTTCGACAAGTAGCACAACAAAAGCAACTCTCTGTAGCGTGCCAGTGCTGTCCCTCGTGAGACATTTGACCTTGATCTACTCCGATTGGCTCACCACAACTGTCACAATATTCAGCAAAAGAAGCATCAAAACAATGTAAGCAGTAAGGTCTCCCTTCCCTCATTACATATCTCTGTCCACCGAGCTAGAAAAATTAATAAAGATGAGTAATAACATTTTATATATAATAAAAAAATCAGAACGTAATATCTATATTTCTGCTTAAAAATTAATACATTAGTTTAACTCCATACTCACACTATAGATCAATTTCCCTTCTAAAAGAATTGATAGGCAATTTAAAATCATTACAGTGGATAATGTACGATCTTCGTGATAGCGCGTAAACTTAAAATAATTCTGATGATCAAAAAGAGTGTTGATATCTTACATAGGGGTTGTTATCTAGGGGTAGTTTTGGATTATATCTATTTGGAGAAATACAAATTTCATCTGGAACAATGTTGCATTTTGAAAACGAGACTTGAAAGAAATCTTGACATTATGTAGGTTAGTATTTAATCCAAAGAGTTGATATTTACAATACAGGGTGACTTATAGAGGTGGTTTTGTATCAAAATTTTAGTAATTTAAAATACAACATACATAGCTATATCCTTCTAATTTTTTAGGGCTATATTTTACCACATAGAAATAAATAGATATTTTTCTTTAAGGTATATCTCCGGCTCTAGTGGTGCTCAGTTCCCTGCAACAAGTTTATACTAATCAACAGCTGACTTCACTGTCGTGTTTTCTCTCTCTTTCTCAAGCGATTAATATACTTGACTCTCTTGAAAAATCAATAAATAACCTAACTTTTCTACTTCAAAACGTTGTAATTCAAAAATTAGCATGGATACCCCTTCTAAAACTTTTTTTATATTATTCTATTAATTTCATTAAACAATATACTTGTTTCTAAAAAAAATCTATGAATAACTTTTTAAATAATTCAATAAAATGTGTGAGTTTTGCATGTTCAGATTAGGAATCCTATGTTAAGTAGTGCAACTTTGAACCCAGATTTCTCAGTTTTTAGCATGGCAAGGGGTACTGGGTTTTTTACCACTTATAAAGTACATAAAAAAGAACATTTTCCCAGAATTTAAAAAAATTCTAGCGAAAATCGATTTGCCGGAGAAATACCTTAAGGGATGTTTTAAGGGTATTTTTGGACTAAGATATTAGAGTTAGAAATTTTTTTAATTCATGCGTCTTTACAATTCTTCATAATATACTAGAAATTTGTGTCCTGATTTGTTAAACGTAAATAATGGGTCTTTTTACGTAAATTTCAGACAATTTGTTTAAATTTTTAAAAAATTATTATTAAAAAAATCTAATTGTGATATAGAAAAACGGGCAATGGATTACACACTAAAAAATAATACTTACTTTCAGTTCAATTTTGACTAAAACCGTTAACGTTAGAACCATTTTTACTGAATTTCAGCCTTGAGTGTATGACTTTAAGTCCTAAAATTGACTTAATCTACATTTAAGATAAAAATTACGCTACTTTTTCAGCGACCAAGAATGATTTAGGAATGTATAGTCCTATTTACTGAGTCGAAAAAAAATTTTGTGGTCCTGTGTTATTGTGAAGAGTCGCTGTAAATAAGACTCTGACAACCTCTTAAGGGAATGTCTTAGAATAGCAAACGTACTTTCGAGCAAACAACAAAAAAGGGAGAATTTTCGGAAGAAGAAAATCTTATGCGTTTAAATGAAAGTTTGAAGGGGGAGGCCAGAGTAGTGGTACCATCTCTTACAGTAACCAGCCGGAGTTCAAAACAAATAATAGAACTTCTTGAATTAAGATTTGGTAACCCAAATGCCATAGCTACGAGTATCATCAAGAAATTAAGGTCACTCTCAAAAAATTTTGATAATAATGGAGATTTAGTGACATTAGCCACGCGAGTTAAAAATTTTGTCGCCGCTTTAGAGGCTGCGTTAACCATATAGGGTACTTGCACAGTCATGATTTAGTAAAGGAGATTACTCAAAAAATACCGTATGCTATGATATATAATTATAATCGATTTTTAAACGAAAAAAGGAAATCGGACGAACCAGTCCTCGTGACCCTATCAAATTTTTTATTTTTTGAGGCAAAAATCGCATGTCAGGCGGGTACGTTCAATTCAACATGCACATCATCACAAAAAAAAGAGATAAAGACGGCTGATGATTTTAAAGACCAGCTCCACAGCAAGGAACCTTTCACGCATCAAATCACGATACGGATAATAAATCATTATCAAAAATAAAAAATCGGACAAGTGCGAGTTACACTCGCATTAAAACCGAGGATTCCCTACCCTTAAACCTAAAATTTGAGGCGATTAAAGTGTGAAGGCTGATAGAAAAATTCCAATTTCGCTTACTTTTTCCTGTAATGTGAGCATGAAAATACATAGATTGACACATAGACTGAAAGTTATCAGTTTTCCTTGAAAACGCTATGATAATCAACTTCCATCGTGCGCACCATATTTTTTTGTAATCTACACGTAAAAATACGTAAAAATGTAAAAATTTGAATCCCTTTAGATAAAATTTTCTTTGTTTTTTGAGGAAAATTCATGATTTTTATCGAAAATTATCAGTTTTTCCTTAAAAACACTATGATAAACAACTCCAATAGTGCTCGCTATATTTTTCCGATAATCTACACACAAAAATACGCATGTATACCAAATATGAACTGTCTTGGTCAAATAGTGTGTGCGCTAGGAGGATTAAACGCTTTTTTCAAAATTTTTTATTTTTCCTTGACAACGCTAAGTAAATCGATCCGAATCATGTTCGCTATAGGTATTTTTCCTTTAATTTTCACGTAAAAATACATAAGTGTACTAAATTTGAGCTCTCTATGTGAAAAAATGTGGCCACCAGAGGGGGTACATAGTCATTTTTAGGGATTTTTTTTAAAAATTCATGGCTTTTCCTTGACGACGCTATGATAATCAATTCCTATGAGATTCGCTATATTTTTCCTGTAATCTACACGCCAAAATACATATGTTTACCAAATTTCAGCCCTCTAGATAAATTCGTGTGGCCGCTAGGGGGGGGTACATGCCTTGTTTCACTAGTCTCATTAATAGGGTCCCCCTTCGGGTACGGAACCCTAAAAAGGTGAACATTGTGTTTATTGCGATAAAGATTCTCATGTTGTCACAAATTGTGAGCGTTATTCAGAATTATCCGTGTCAGACAGATGGGGATGGGTAAGAGCTAACAAATTGTGTTTTAAATGCCTTGAAGATTTAGCTCACTAATGCAATCAACACTGCAAAAAGAATTATCTTATTTTAAGATGTTTTGGTCGCCTTTTTAAGATGTTTTTTATAACTTGCTTCTAAGTTATCTAAAACAACTTAAAATGCATTAGTTTCTTAAGATATAAGATGGATAGGAAGATACTTTTGGTAACTTGCTTCCAATGTATCTTGTAATAAGATACTTCTTTTTGCAGTGAATCCACGCATAAACTTTGTGAAAACAATGGTTGTAAACGAAATCATCACTCGTCATTACATCGCTCTCAAGCAAGAGAATCTAGGAGTTCTTCACCAAAACCACAAAGGACAAACAGTCGGAAACCTCGATCAGCCAAAGACGAATAACAAGAATCATGACTAAACGAAAATGAATACGTTCTACTCAAGTTACTTCCAGTTCGGTTATATGGTCCAACAAAAAATGTTATAGTTTAAAGTTTTATGGATGAAGGATCGACAATGACATGAGTAAATGCAGAAACTGTATGATCCATCGGCGTTAGAGATCCATATAGTCCATTAAAATTATCTTGTATCAATAATATCCAAAATTCAGATTCAGATAGTCAAAGAGTTGAGATGGTGATCAGCGCCTTAGATAGCTCTATATTATATAAAATGTCAAATGTGAGACATATAATAAGTAGTAAAAATAATAGTAAAAAAATCTTTATTCTTAATATTTTCAAAATTGATAATCTTAAATTATAATTATTTCTAATATTATATTGAAGCATTGACTCATATGGGACGTTTCACGTCAACCGGCCCAGAGCTCTATCCAAAATTCTAATCAACGAAAATCAACTTATTACGGCTCAAAATAATCGTCAGCTCATACTGCTTCGAATAAAAAGTGGCGAATTAAAAAATTCAAAATGGCGTCCTTACTGTACCATGTTTTGCAAATTTTTTTACTAACTCAGCAAACAAATGTATTAATTACCTTGAGAAAATAATTGCAACTTGTTGGATAATGGGTCACTCTTATGTTTTTGGAGTCGCTGATTACGAATCTGAAGTCAGATTTTAAAAATTTTCAAAATTCAAGATGGCTGATCCAATATGGCGGACATTTTTATTAAAAATTGATCAGATTCGCTTGAAACTTGCTACTCGGGGGTTTTTGGAGTCGCTCATTACGAATCTAAAGTCAGATTTTAAAAATGTTCAAAATTCAAAATGGTGGATCCAATATGGCGACCAAAATTGTTAAAAAATTATCAGATTTGCTTGAAACTTATTACTCGGGGATTTTTGGAGTCGATGATCACGAATCTTACGTCAACTTTTAAAAATCAGGTCACAGATCACGATTCAGATGTAAAAGTTGTTAACAATTCAAAATGGTGGAGCCAATATGGTGGATGAAATTGTAAAATTTGTTTGCATTTATAAACTTAAATGTAATGAGGCTGATTTTTTAGGTTAAGGTTTTTAGAGTTAAGGACAGTTTTTGAAATTCAATTTGAGAATATTTGAAAGTTTCAGTTGTGCTTAAATTGTAAAAAAGTGATCCACATACACTCGAGCGCTTATTAAGCGAACTGTTCTGGTGCGTCGTCCGCTCAAGCGGACTACGAAAATTCCCAAAAAATAAGAAGCGAACAATAAACGAGTCCGCTTAAATTGGTCCTCTTAAGTAGGGCTCGAGTGTAGACTAGCTCAAAACCAAATAACAAGGTTTGAGCGAATCCATCCAATTTTTCTGATTTTTCTGTGACCTGATTTTTAAAAGTTAGACCTAAGATTAGTAATCACCGACCCCAAAAATCCCCAAGTAACAAGTTTCAAGCAAATCTGATAATTTTTAAAAAAATTTTGGTCGCCATATTGGATCCACCATTTTGAA